CTACATCTTCATCGCTCTCCGATTCTTGAGTGTCATCTTCTTTCTGGTTGTATAAGTTAATAATGCGTTCTGCTTCACGCTGGCCACTCAACAGTGCCCCATGAGTAGTGGAATAAAAGGAGGGGTGGGTGGCTTCACCAGCAAATCCTACCTGAGGCTAGAAAAATGGAAAAAAAATTACACTCATGAGCTTCTTTAATCATGACTATTTCTTCAAGTTGTGAACACTTTGAACACTGTCATTTTTCATTTTCAATTGTAAAGGGTAAAAAAGAACAGTGCCATTTACTGAAAATCTTATCTTCATGGTTGCATGGATGACATATTAACATTTGTGTACTTTTTTATGTATTCTTATGAAGTCATTAATGCTATAAATAATAAAAAATCTTGATTATTGGTGTTAAATTCTTATCATTTCACATGTAATGAAATGTACATTAGTGGGTTTTGATTTAGGAGAAAAAAAGTGAAAATGAAAAAAAAAATAGTAAAATGTAAAACATGTTTGAAGACAATAGGTTAAACAATTTTCCACTTTTTGGGTCATCACTGAAAATGCATGGCGACGACAACGGCAACGACAGATGCATGTGATGGCTACATGTGCAGACACTATGAGTTATTTTAACTAGCTTGTGGTTAAGCCTCAATTTTTTTGACTAATCATCCATAAAGCAAGCTACAGTGCTGTCTAAAAATTGAAAAAAATTAAACATGAAGATGCCTTATTCAAAAGGATGGCACATTTTACATAACACAACTTCTTGGCATGAATAGTCTGAATACATCTAGCTCAGGGTCTGGATGATGATGGATGATGCTTGTATCTTTACTGATATTTTTTCCTACCAACAGATCATGGAGTGAGCACTGCCCTGTGTCAACTGACACCAAGTGACCATGCTGGTGCTAAAGATTTCCTCTCATGCAATCCTGCTCTTAGTCACACTTCAGATGCCCGAAGGAGCATCCATCTATTCTGTCTCTAGTCAAAAGGATTGCAATCACACCTGATACACATGAAGTGACTGTAACTCCCCTATCTGAACTTTCAAGGACTCAATAGTATGCCATGCAAATGTAAGGCTGATTGTACTTGGAAAAGCACTGTGTGGTAGTTGTTTATGCAACATGTTGAAAGGTGATAATTTGTTAATTATCCCCATCCCAAAGAAGTTGATGTTTGCTTGAATTTTTAGCCAGCTGTTTCATGGCAAATGCCATTTCATGACTAAGGTACTTATATCATTTTTGCTACTTGTTCTATGATAAAAGCAATATACTTGGGGATTTCACTGTAAAAACAGGCTTTGGGATGTTGATGTGCAGTCATCAAATTAATCACAATGCAGCTTTTGAAAGGATTTTTGTAAGCTCAAAAAGAACAATAGCAGACTTCAATCTTGACAGTTTAAACAAATATCACAAAATTGAGGGAAATTGGCAAAAATGATCATAAATAGCGGACATAAAGAACCCATTCCACAGCTAGGTCTGAAATAACATTTTTTATAAGTGTGCTCCCAATACAATGTCCATCTGGCATTATAACAGCAAATTATATTCAAAATATGCACTCTCTTACCTTTGAGGAATCGATTGGCAGTGGGGCTCCCAGTTCTTTGATATCATCCACTGTGGCTCCCACAGGAATATAGGTGTATGCTCCACGGGTGTAAGGGTGAGTGCCCCACTTAGTTCTGAAAGTCAACCAGGAAGTGTTGTAACACACGCAATAATACCTCTCTTCAAAGATATATTATTCAAATAAATCTGTGAGACATGATGCCAACAGTGAAAGAATAAAAAAAAGTGTAAAAAGAGACTGATAAAATTCTTATTCCTAAGAATATGGATTCATCAAAGTTTTTCTTTTTTAATTTTAATATATTTTCTTTTTAATTTTCTTTACAGTCCATTTCTATTTTTTTTAAGTACCAATAACCTTGTCCTCAGACTATGCCAGCAACTCCTCATTTTGTCTGTGACATGTAGCCAGATAGCAACTTTTCTTATGCAGCTAGATTATCCTGTCCCCAAGGTGCCTTTAATTATTAATGAATTCTACTTTCATCACTTCATATGTTCAATTAATAAAGCATCTAATTTATTGCCTAAAGAGACAATAAACTTAATATTTGGACAAGGCTGAAAAGGCCACATGGTACACAAGATTGCTTCCCAGTTCAGTCCACTCAATAAATGATTTAAATGAACCTCAAAACATTACTAGAGTTCAACAGAAAGTCCATTGAAATTGCAAGTGAAAGAAACAAGTGGGGGACAATGTTTTGTTTTCTTCTGTGATTCCCTGAAATGTCTAACCTATTTAATAACCCAAGCACAGCAGCCATGACGCAGTTGATCCTTGCCCATTCTTGTACGCAAGTTGCTTTGGGGCAAAAGTCCAAACAGAACCTGGACTGAATTATGTACACTATCGAAAATAAAAAAAGAAGTTGGACTTAGGGCAATGCAAAAGTGCTGAAGCACTTTACATTGACCTACATACGTTCTCAACCAAAAGGGTATGTAACAAGTCACCTTTTCCTTTTAAACAGAGTTAACATATTTACACCTATGCCCAGGGTCATGAAACATTTTTTATTTATGTTTGTTGCCTCTCCCTTTTTTAAAATACAAGCATTCATAACAGATCCATGTTTTTGACAGGAAGCTACAAATGACTTCATTGAGCCTGGGGCCCTACCAACAAACAAAACTAATATATATGTATACGTATATAAATCAATGCCATATATCTTATTTCTTATTTTCAGTTATTTATGACCACTGACAAAAAGTTGATATATTAAACCCAACAAGTTTTATAAAAGTATTTTTTTTTTTCAAATGACTTCATTGAACCTGGGGCCCCACCAACAAATAAAACAAATATATATATATCAATGACAAATATCTTATTTCTTATTTTCAGTTATTTATGATCACTGGCAAAAACTTGATATATTGAACCCAACATGTCAGTTTTCAGCATTTGGTAAAACCAGGATATTGAGTATTCACGGTATAAGGGAAAATACCCCCATGTTTTCCATTGTAGCAACAGGATGTTATGACAACATGCAAATACATACCTGATTACTTTCTTGGGTTTTGGGATGGATCTCTTGAGGAATTTTTCCAGTACTGCTACACAGTCTGCTGTTAGTTTCTCTTCACTCATTGTCTCCATATACAAACATTCTTTCCTGATAACCAGCCTGAAATTGAAATTAATATATGGTTCATCAAAAGTTACTCTTTCAGGTTACTAAAATTTTGATACATTGACTCTCTCACTTTATTTTAAAATCTTAGTGTGTGTGTGTGTGTGTGTGTGTGTGTG